CCTACAATTTTTTGTTTATAACGTAGTTTATACGGATTATTTTCAAAAAAATATACGTATTTTGGAAATGTTGAGTCGAATTAGTCTAGAATCGATTAATTTTATGAAAGAAAACCTTTCAAACAGCCGTAGTCTGTAAACTATGATTCCTACAAAATTGATTCATAAAGAACGGAACGTATCTACCGTCTTATAGGGGGATCTACTGTATTATTATTTACATCATATTAATATTTGAAAAATAATCCATATTGGATAGATTGTAATGGCCCCACATGTGATTGAAGTTGCTAACTTTAACATCAGAAAAACTTCATTTGACTTGTTTAAATAATAAAAAATCTTATAAAAAATGTGAGAATAATTGCTTTTATGTGATCCCAATAAAAATTAAACTGGTGAAACCAGGTTGAAAAAGAAAAACTCAACAAAAACATCTAAGTAAAAGAATCTTTTGAAACTTGTGGCATAAGAATAGTGGATGCAGATTTGACAGTAAGACTCAACATGTGTATAAAGTGCACATTACACAGGCTACAACTGCAGGAAATTTTTGAATGAAGCAATGTGGCCATGATAATAAATAGGAAAAATAAACATCTGCACAAAAAAAGACTTCAAACTCTACTTTGTGCCTTAAAATTGTTGCACATCATTAATTTGGCTGAACATTAGAACATCTTTCAGTAGTATCAGTAGAAAGTTTGGGGCAATGGGGTTTATGAGTTAATAAGGGGCAATGGGATTTATGAGTTAATAAGGGGCAATGAAATCAGGGGAAGAACAGGGTATTTAGGTTTTGTGGTAGTTAAGTATGTTCTCGCAAATATCGTGTTTATAGAAAATTATTAGAATTGATTTGATTTATTTGGTTATGGTAATGCAACACATAAGCAATCTGCCAAGGAGAATGCATCCCAGAAATACTTTATGTAATCCTGACCCTTATTTAGGTGTTACAAATGTGAAGAAAACCCAGAAAACTCCACGTGGCCAGTCTGTTGGCCATGTGCAAATCCACAACTGACCACCAGTGTTTGGTGGTTTTATAAACTGTTTTTGGAGGGTACTACAATTCAGAAAAATTGTAGACCTATAAATTCCCACTGTTGTCTGTCTGTCTATATGTCCTTCCTAATTAATCTTGAGAACAGAATTAGATGATGTATGTCGAGACCAGATATGGAAAAGTTAAGAGCAGGAGGCCCAGATTAACTATATATGAACTTCCAGTGAAAACTGAAAATCACATTATTTCAATTCAAAAACTTCTGCCAAACAGAGTTAGATATATAACCGGCACAACGCTATTAATAATGGAAAAAGTATGATGTACAAAGGCAAAATACCACTCCACACAAGCAAGTGCTATGTACTATCTGTCACAGTTATTAAGTGAATATATTATGTATTTTTTAAAATTATATAATTTTTTGTAAGAATTATATATAGTTTTATTATTTTGTTAAATTTTTTGCCAATAAACAATGCTACATGTAAAGCCAGCAAATAAACATAGACAGAAATTAATTGATATATAGAAATACAATTAATATTTTCAGGTGTACAGTTTAAAAAAAATTTCTGTTAAAAAGTAAAAATTATTTTAAAGAATTAAAACCATGTTTTTGTCAACAAAAATCACAACAACTATCAAAACTAACAAAATTAGAATAAAATTTTCTTTATTTTATGAAAACAAAACCAAAAATTCATCTTAAATCATTTATACTATCAACTTGGTAAAAAATAATTTGTCAGTAACAGATGCAAAATTTTTTTAAAATTGAATTAATTGGATAAATAGTTTAATCTCACAATCAATAAATATTATGTAAGCATTCTGTACACATACTGGTATAAAAAAATGATATCATGTAAGCTTCTTAATGTTTATCAAGTAGAAATTTTGTCATTTAATAAATAATTCATATATAAAAAATAATAATAATAAACTGAAAACTGATCTAAAAAATGTCTTTTTAAAATTATTTTGTAGAAAGAATAATCTTAGAAGAAAACATGATACGAATACCAATCTTTATTCTCAGCTATCTCTTAGATGTTCAAAAGTAATGGAAGTCATCTATATAGCAAAAATATTCTCATATTTGAGATGATTTATGAATTCAAAGCATAGTTATTATTAATAAAAGTATATTATCAAGTAGAATAATATAATAGGTCAGTGGTGGCTCTAGGTCATAAGATTGGCTAAAATGAAGCAAACCGGCTCAAAATGGAAACACAATATTTCATTTATTAAAATTTAAAGAAAACAATGTTCCTATAAATAGGAAAAGTTTATACATTTTGTATATAAGTATACATATGCCATTCTTTACATATATGAATTCTTTTTTTAGTTATATTAAATTTGCACTAGAAGAATTATATACATCCTTTGTTAAGCATTACTAACAACAATTTTTTTTTTTTTTAAGTTTTTAGGAATTTAATTCACCACCAGGCTTACCCAATTAGAAATTCTTTTCAGTATGGTTCATATCTTAATTCAAATACTATTTCAGATATTTGAAGATCTTATTTAAATTGTTCTATACCAGGCCGCTTTATAATAGGAGCTTCGTAGCATCAAGACTGCATTTATTAACAGTGGCTTTACTGGTTCCAAATTTTATTACCCTATTTTTCGGATTGTCCGGTATGTCTGTCTATCCAGAAGAGACCATGAAATCAGATATTTCCATATGGTAAAAACCAGCTTACTGATTTATCCTGTGGAAAAGCTGGCATGCCTGTTTAAGTGAAGTTATACATCCCTCTCTAGAGAGTGTGTTAAAAAAACTAACGAGTTTTTATTTTAAAACTGAATTTGTCAGCATTACATCAAAAACTATGATTATATGTTTAATTTCCTCATTTTGTTTTATTTCTAACGATGTAAAATATTTGTGGAATTCTGAAAGTGCTTTATGTTTATTTTATTGTAATTCGATTTGCAAAAATAAAACATATTAAATTTAAGAAACACCCTATAAATTATCACAACTTACATGCGCTGTGTGAAATTTGAGAGAAAGGTGTTATTTTTAAGTTTAGGGTAGATGGTCAGTATAACTACTACTACTACTACTACTACTACTACTACTACTAATGTCAATAAGTCGTCGTTTTATTGTCTTGTAAATGAAAACTCTTCCTGACTTCAAGTCAGTCAAATTACAATGTTATTGTTTTAGTGAACTTTTTTTTTTTTTTAGTGGACTCTAAAGAATGTTTTCTTTAACATTTAATTAACAACTAGTTTGTTAGATGTGATTAATTTTACATTTTAGCAGGGCTGTGGAGTCGGAGTCGTGGAGTTTTGGTGTTTTAACCGGAGTCGGAGTCGGATGGTAAGGAAAAGTCGGAGTCGGTAGATTTTTACGTGACTCCACAGCCCTGCATTTTAGTCACAGTTTAACTGGCATGTTGGTAATCCCGGGTTTCGGCATTACCACAAAAATACAGTATTTATATAACAAAGTTATAAATTCTTTATTCCCATAAACTAAGCTCCACCCTTGGCATTCACAAGTAAAGTTTGTCTTTATCTCTTCCATTTAGGAGCCCATTCATTTATTGTTTGGCTAGAATGTTACTTTCCCATTGATTAAAATTACCTTTTTCCACTGCCATTACTAGGGTGATTCCTTTATGTAGTAGAGATACATGGGCAATAAAGGAAAAATCTGGTGTGCATATCCCTCAGCAAAGTTATGATGCATTTTACATTGGACCACTACTACACCTCTCTAAACATGTCAGTGAACACATAAGGGATAAAAAGCAGAAAGGTTAAGATCTACAAGACATACAGTTACTAAAGCCTTTACACTGGATTAGAACAGTGTACAAAATAATACATACAACTTCCCTGGAATACAATCACTATTTTTAGCAAATACTGTTTTAATTAAATATAATAGGACTTGCAGTACCCCATCAGCCCAA